CGTATCTGTGGATTTGCATATATGTATGGTAAGGTGGTGTAAGACTGATGGAGTGGTTCAGTTTTTGTACTTGGCTAAGGCATCCCCATGGGAGGCTTCACATAATCAAATAATGTCTTCTATATCACTTGCCGTGTAACACATTACGCTTTATAGCAGAGTAATATACACCGATTTAAAAGTGGATGCTTGTTTGGCACACTGGTGAGTTGCTGTTCATTTTTTGTCAGTTTCTACTATTTGCCAAGTTATATGGATGAAAAAACTTGGACATTGACAGAAATAGAACAAAGGCTAAACAATTGTGTAAAGAAGCATGTAGAAGTGCAGGGATCAGAGAATACATGCACTATAGAGACAACATAATACGTAGGTTTTCGCAGCCTATGTTACGATTTATCGTTGATTTTTTCTTTTCTTTTAGGCCACGTATTAATCTGACAAAATCTATGTTCATAAGAATCCTCCACCATACAACAAGCCGAACAAGTTAATGGTCACGTGACATACGTTCATATTAACATACCAGTTATTATGGTTTCAGTGCATCGGCAAGTGGAATAATAATACCAGATTGTTACTCTGGCTCTCTGGATCTTGTCCTGATGATGGTGGTTGTCATTTGAAACAAAACCTCGTATCTAAATCTCAGTGTACACATTTGGTTGTGAGGATTGTTCATCAACTCGCTAGCGAGCTGAAAACAGAAACAATATTGGCGCGTTAAGTGCTTTTACACGTGACTATCATCTTATTTGGATGCATTAAGTTGTGGAGGGTTCTTCAGGATATTAGGATCATTGTTGTGGCCTAACCCATAAATCAATGATGATCACAGAAATATCATGTTGGCTGTTAAGACTCACACGTGGGGGGTTGGGCAGGACATGTTTCGAGAAGAGGTAATGATGACTGTGGTCAAAACTAACAACAGAGTGGCAGACGAAGTAGGGAACGCACCTGAATTCCACCCGATGGGTTATTGCATCGCAGCGCCGTGAGAGATGCCAACGGATCGGAAAGGCCGTTCATCCAGCAGTGGATGGCAAGTGGACGATTATGATGACGACACTGTGTGGTAATGCCACACTGAGAAGACTCGGGGTTCTGCAGGTGTGTTTCTGGAGACAATACCTTCTTATGTACCTAGCCTGGCGCAATCATGTAACTCAGATAAACGTGTGATGATAACTATTGAGTGCCTCGCGCGCGCACACACACACCCACACTCGTACGTGTATGAATACACTAGTGTGCACTTGATAAATTATGTAGCTATGTATCATCTTACCGACGCATTCTTGAGTTCATTAAAAAAAAAGTCTTTGCCTTTGAATGTGATAAATAAATAAGCGACAGCCACTCAGAAAAAGTGTCCTAATTGCAGTCATTAAGAGTCATTTTATTATACACAAAGCTATTTATCAGCATTGTTTGATCACAGTTTCTGGGGTAATCAATATAGACTTCGTTGAATGGAAGATATTAGTGTGTAAATTAGCTCGTAAAACACGGTGAATGCCAATGCATTTGAGGTTCACCTTGCCGTGTGTTTGTGTACATCTTGTGAGCCGTTTGTCAGTCCACTGGTGGATAAACACCGTCAGTTGTGGAGAGGTTGTTTGAACATACTTCACCACACTGTCAGCTTGGGTTGGTGAAGGGGGTCCAAGACCAGTACAAATATCACTAGCCATTGGTTTTTAGCCATGGTTGTGAATCAAACTCGGGTTGAGAGGTTCAGCGTGCAGTGTGTTTCACCACCGCTATGAACATGACATATAGAGCATTTCTTTAGCTCAATTTCTCCGTGAATCAAGTGTGTTTTATTGACACTACTACACACGGCCAAATTACGTTCCAGTTTAATGCTCAGACAAGTTAATCCGTTGGCTTATTTTATGTTTCATTATGGTGTCCTCTGTCCTTTGAATTTGAACGCGAGCGTCGGTGTGAGCTCGCCATTCTCGTTTGCGTGCTTGAGTAACTTAGCACTTTGATCACGCACTACCCAGGCAGTTACGCCACTGCGAGAATGAAAAAAGGCCTTCGAAATCATAATCTCTCAATTTGTCAGCTTTGCTCAGCCGAACCGGTCATTACACAAGATGAACATCACCACCGAAATTTCACGTAAAATGAGTCATGCGATTGAACCTCATCAGAATCAGAATATTTATAGTTTGTGGAGGAATCCGATGAGCTCCAAGGCTCTTTTTCACTAATGTCCATGGGCCTCATTCGTAACTGGCTAAAGATGACCTTTACTATTATATTCTTGGTTCTTTCGGTAAAGTCACGTAGAAGGGAATAATAAAATAATAAAAATATAACACAATATTCTTTGGTTCTTTCGGTAAAGTCACGTATAAAGATAAAATAATACATTAAATTAAATACGAGCATACGACGTTTCGATTGCAACACAAGCAATCGTCATCAGGTATAAATTAAATAGAAACACAAATCTGGTATACTTAGAAATGTAATGTAATACAACAGAGACTCGGATAACATAACAGTCAACACCCTACCTGGTTGATTACGTTCTTCTTGAGAATCCCTTCTACGTGACTTTACCGAAAGAACCAAGAAGATGAATCCCTGCAGTCACGAAAGCTTTAAATCGAAATTTATGCCGTTTACTGTTACCGTCGTAATTTGCCACTATTAATTGCATCACACAGACAATTTTGAGTCATTTTGCAAGACGTTTAATAATGACGATGGTGCCCACTCGCGCAGAAACCACACTTGGTTGTATAATGGAGAGCTGGGTTGTTGCCACTGCTTGTGTGTGCCCAGGCAAGAGGTGTGAACGTTTGGTGAAATTTTACAATGGCGTGCGAACCCACTGGTGGTCAAACGGTGTGGACGTTACGCGAACCTAAGAGCAGAGCGACATTGCGAATGCACAGCAGGACTGTTATTGTTAACCACTAGCTTTGTTTATCGTCACAGCAATGACTTTTTAAGTTTTGATTTGTGAAAAATCATTATGCCCTACCTTTATAATCGTTAGACACTGAAATTTCACGGCAAACATATATTCACACTACAATGAGTTATTTGTCACGATATATTTGTTGGTAATGCCTCGGAATCAGAATCTTTATTTATCCTGGAGAAATCCTATGAGCTATGAAGCTCTTTTTCACATATTTTCAGCAGGGGCAGGTCAGAAAGTTACAGCAATAAACAACAGTTACAACAACTGACAATACATATTCTTGGTTCTTTCGGTAAAGTCACGTAGAGGGGAAATAATAAAATTATAAAAATATAAAACAATACAATTCTCACAACGTTTCGACTGCAACACAAGCAATCATCACACCTGATGATGATTGCTTACTGAAAGAACCAATAATATGAATTCCTGCAGTCACGAAAGCTTTAAATCAAAATGTAACAGACAATACGTTTAAGAGAACGCTTACAAATATAGAAACTACGTACAGGCGACGTTTCCGGTAATGACCCTCCTTGATGGCCCATGCAGGAAGACCACCCACTGAATAGAAAAACGTTGACGCAATGCTACCCTCTTTACAGGACATTGCGACCATTAATGCGCGGAATCTTGGCACGTCATAAAATCAAATACCGTTCAAATTATATTTTGAAATCCACATTGCCCTTGCCTGGTTCTAAATCAAAGAACTTGATTAATTGATGGAGATGACGGTATAACACACCGTTGCTACGAACTCTAATCATGTGAAGCCACGATCCGTCTCATCTCTTCTTGTTGTGTGCTGCTCTGGTCACTCTGTGCCTGGCCCACTTGTCCTTGTTTGTGTGTTGATCTGACTTGTTCAAGTTTCAAGTTTCAAGTTCATTTATTAGGTATAGCCCTGTGAGCCATTCGGCTCTTGAATCGGGTGCAACCGCAACAAACAAAAAACAAAAACATGAACAAAAAACATCTTAAAGTGAATATGTGACTGGCGGAGTGACTGGCCCCCACCATGGGTGTGTGGAATTTACGCCGTTGACTCGGGGCCACGAGTGGAGATGTTCACAATAAAGATCAAGATGCCACGGTGGCCAAAGCCGATAATGCCATCACACCTCGACAATGCTTTCTATCCTGTGCCAGATCCTGCAGCTGCTGCTGCACCGTTTACACATGGCCTCCAAGATCTGCCCTCACAAATAAACGAAGCTATAAAACTATTTTTATTTTAAAACTAAACTCTTTTTATTTTACCAGGTGAGGCCCACTGAGTTATTTTTTCAAAAGCGACCTGGCCACAAATGACAGCTTACGTGGAAATTTATAGCAACCAAATACTCTGAACGCATATTTCTAAATGTGGAGGGAAAAACCGGAGAACTCGGGGAAAAGTCCACACGACCACAGGGAGAACATGCAAACTCCAAATATACAGGCATCAGGGTTGGGATCGAACCCACGCCTCTTGCATACCAGGCGAGGTAGTTAACATCTTGGCCACCATCATCATGGGACCTCTTTTGCCAGTACCAAAATATACTAATAGGGTTTTTCCCCTTTTTTTTGGCTGCTCACCCCGAGCCCTCATTACTCTGGTAGTGCGTTGTCTTGAACTGTGCGCCTTTTGGCGTCATCTGGTCGAACACCATATGAGACGAGGCTCCAAAGAAAGCTGTCTCTGGTGTGGACCAATCAGTTTCAAAGACAATGCATAAATTACCAGAGTAGTTGTTTTTTGTTTGCATTTGACTGCAGGTATTGTGGTTAATGTAGACATGATTCCTTGCAAAATGTGTCAGTTTTGTTGCCAGAAAAAAGGGGAAAAACCCTATTAGTATATCTTGGCCACCGTGTCGCCCAAATCTTGGCGTGGTGATGAGCAAATGTCTTATTTAACTGTGACTTTTCTTATGCATGCTCCTTCCCTCGGCTGTCTGCGTCTCCACCGCTGGCTTTGTCACACAAAGGCGACGACGGTCGGACTCGCGTGGCTCTTGAAAGCGTTCACCGACGTCATAGCTTTTCCCGGTGCTTGTTTCAGGCAATGGCGGAGGTGCAGACGAGCACGGCGACCCTGAAAGACGAAGCGAGCAGGCGTCAGCTCGCGCTGGAGAGGCTCCTCAACGAGGCCCACGCGCAGAGGGACGGTGAGAAGAGGACGTTACTGGAGGAGCACGGCAGAGAGACGCAGGTACCCCCTTTTAAAGCCACGATCTGCACGTCATACTCTTAGTTCTTTCGGTAAAGTCACGTAGGTAAAAAATGAAATAAAAATTTATAAAAATCAAATAATGAAATCAAATAATCAAAATCACGACGTTTCGGAGGCAACACAAGTCTCCGTCATCAGGTGGGTCCGTCACAGCCAGATTTGCTGCATCAAGTGAGGCAGGGATTCAAGATGCAAGCTCTTAAATACAAGTTAAGGGGGAGGAGAGGGGGGGGGAGCTTATCAGAATGTGGTAGCCAATTAATGGAACGTATCGGGAGGGGCGGGGCTAAAAGAGATCACGAGGTGTTGAGCACTAGACTTGTGTTTCCTCCGAAACGTCGTGATTTTATTATTTGATTTTATTATTTTAATTTTATTTATTTTAATTTCATTTTTTACCTACGTGACTTTACCGAAAGAACTAAGAGTATGAATCCTTGCAGTCACGAAAGCTTCAAATCTAGAATAGATCTGCACGTCCACACGTGGGTTTGCGAGTCGGCACGGCACGGCACGTGTTTGCTCAACATCCAAGTGTACGAGTGACTCGTATGACGCCGTGCAGCGAGGATGAGGGAGCATTGCGGTGACATCAAGGGTTGCAGGTAGAGAGCAACATTGTGTACTTAGTTACGCGAGCCGGTTGCACGTCATGGAACTTCATGTGCACGCACGAATGTACTCGCACATGAACAGACGTTCATTGTAAACACATTTGCATCCGAGCGTACTCTTGGCCAAGCCATACGTAACTACTGTGCATGAATAATAATGGCATTTGTTTATCCAGTGTAGCCGCAGCGAGCTTGAAGACTTTTTTTCTGGTAGGATCCTTACATTAGGATGTTTCTCCAGTTAAATTAATGAGCGGTTGGCATATGGCAGGATCGTGCTGTGACGGTTCCACCTGAAGACGGAAGCTTGTGTTGCCTCCGAAACGTCGTGATTTTTATTTTACTTTTATTAATTTTATTTTTATGTTTTACCTACATAACTTTACCGAAAAAACCTAAGAGTATATGGCAGGAAACCAAATAACCTGGAGAGATCCACGCATACGAGGCGGCAACGCTCAGAGTTGCACACAGATGGATTGAATCTACTTCCTGTACTGGGAGTTTCATGAATGTATATATGATGCACCAATCCCCGTTTCCAGTATGCTGGATTACAGGCATCTGCCATAACATACGAGCATACACCTGGTAGTTCGAATGAGCACTTATACAGGCAGTCCTCTACTTACGATGGAGATGCGTTACGACGACCCCATCGTAAGTTGAAAATATCGTAAGTCGAAGATGGCCTCGCCTACCCAGGAGTCTTAAAGAATGGTGATAATTTAGCAAAACAGAGCAATCTACAGTACCATACTTTATAAACTATATACTGTATGTATTTATTAATTACAATACTGTATTGCACAGTAAAATGTAAAGTAAAAAAACAAGGTAAATTCTTAGCCTACCTATATGAACTGCAATTTAATAGAAAGTTTTTTCAAGAAACAATCCTATCTGCTATAAAAACTTTGAACATGTATTGAACGTATTGTATCATGGTAACCTTAAAATGAAATCCCTAAAGCTATGTATCATACATCCATTGGACGTATCGTAACGTATCATATTGTACTGTACTCACCAAGATTCTGTCCGTCGTCTGCACACTTGAACGATGTTAGGTTGTTGATGACAATTTTGTCGTATCGCTTTCGCCATCGTAAGATCGAAATATCGTAAGTCGGACCATCGTAACTCGGGGACTACCTGTATTCATTCAGAAATTCATATATAAATGCATGTAAAACTATAAATATGTAATTTTATATCTAATAGTGTGTTTAAGTTCAGTAAAACAACATTAGAGGCATTACTTTTAGGACGTGTAGTACATTGCGTTTTTCGGTGATGCGCCCATCATCTTCACTGCGGGATCAATTATTTGAGCATCCTCTACTATAATAATAATAATGCAATTTACAACAAGCGCAATATTTCACAGACAGAAAATTTACCGTGACTGATTCATGGAGCCGAGATCAGTGCCACTGGAAAGCCAGGCGAAAGAGACTGGGTTTTTAAGTGTCTCTTGAAAGGCGATGTGGATTGCACGCTGCTGTGATATCGTGCAGCAGCGGTACTGCGATGGCCGCGTTCCAGACGGTGGGGGCTGCCGCGGAGAAACGATGCGCAGCAACGACGGGCCCGGTCCTCGGTGTAGAGAGTAGGAGGTTGTGAGTCGCGCTGCTGTTACAGATAGCTCTACCATGAGCTGTAGTACAGGGAGAGAGGAGAGTGAAGAGAGATATGGCGACGACCACGGAGAAATGATGCCCAGTAGCGATGGTCCTCGGTGTAGAGAGTAGGAGGTTGTGAGTCGCGCTGCTGCTACTACAGAAAGTTCTAACGTGAGCTGGAGTGCTGGGGAACAGGAGAGAAAGCCCCTTGCATTCAGAGGCATCGATGAAATGAACGCAGGTGAAGAGTGGGGAGTCATCGACGTAGGAATTGCATATCACAGCATTGCTCTCAATGAGACAGGTGATGGGAGACATGTAGGACGCACACAACAACTAAAACTAAACGTTTTATTTTACCAGGTAAGGCCCACTAAGCTCCATAGCTCTTTTTTTCCAGAAGCGACCTGGCCACAATTGATTGCTCGACGAAATTGCCCATCACGTGGAAATGTTTCGCAGCCAAACACTCGAATTGCAGGTTCATTCTAAATGTGGTGGGAAAAACTGGAGCGCCTGGAGAAAAATCCACGCGACCACGGGGAGAACATGCAAACTCCAAATATACAGGCATCGGAGCTGGCATCGAAACCCACGACCTCTTGCATACGAGGCGAGGTAGTTAACATCTCGCCACGCTGCGCCGAGTCCAGGGGGACTCCACTGATGAAGACTACCCTCGAACCAAGAAACTCCAGTCTGAGGACAGGACGTAATCCATTTTAGGGCTGTCCCACTGACACCAAAGCCAGATACCAGGAGGCCAATGAAGAAGGGGTTTTTGTTCATGGTGCCGAAGGCTGCAATGTTATAAAGGGTATGTGTGAGCCCTGTAGATCCCAGCGGTGCTGCTATTGCGTTGGGCATGTTACTGTGTGCAAAGAAAGGGACTTCCCCAGTATGAAGGTACACTGATGATAATGCTAGTCTCATGGCCAATAGTATTTGCACTTTTGATTGTTAAACCAACGTGCAAACAACAGAAGCTCACCATGCGCCGATTTGAAAGAATTTGCAAACTGAGACTAATTATTAGAATATGGCGAGTGCACAAGTTAATATTTTTAAATAGTTTTGGACATGAAATGTGGTGTTTAAATGCAGTGTATCCCTCTGTAGTGGCGTTAAAAACACTGCAATCTCTTTTTCCGTATAATATGAAACACCAGAGCAGTTACAATTTTTGTACAATACAACTCTTCTAAGAGGCTTTAACTACAAGGATGGTTTCATGTGTTTTCTTTTAACTGGGGAAATAATAGATGTTAAAGTGAATTGCTCAGAAGAGCGGTGAAACCGAATAACGTTGCTGTGTGATGCATTGCAGACACTTGTAGGGTGCACTTGCGTTAATTATGGTGTTAAATATGATAACGAATACTTGATTAGTGTTTCAATAAGAAAGCAAATTACACATCTAGGATATCTTATGCACATTTAATTTGGCAGTTGTTCATTGTCTCGATTCACATACTTGCTGAAACATTGTGTCTGATTTTCTTGACTGTTTACCATTTAAACACATCACTTAAAAGTTAATTTGTGGGTGTGTAGGTAGGTAGGTGGTGGGTGGATGGATGGGAAGATAGTTTTTACAGACAGGTGGGTAATTAGGCAGGTATATTTGTAGGCAGACATGCAGGTCGGTTGGCAGATAGGTGGGTATCTTTGTTGATAAGGAGGTACAAATGTAGAAAATATGTATGGTGTGTTAGTAGCTATGTAAATAGTACCTGAGAAGATGCATCTTGAAATTTGTGAGAGGCATTTGAGGCATGTCTATTGCAAAGGTCACAAGGATATCTTCGAATAAATATGATTATTATTCCACTTGTTTACCCAGGAACGTCTCACCGAGCCTCATGACTATTTCAGGAGGGTCCTGCCAAGTTTTCGCAATAGCCGTCGATTCGGCTGCTGTGTATAGTCCCAATTGAGTAATTTGCAGGTAATTTTTGAGCACTGGGAGGTTTTGGCCAATGCCATTTACAAATCCGTATTTATTTTCTCTATAGGAGGATACAAGGGAAGCTGGAGAAACCATTGCAGAACAGGGAGAGATCAAATCTCCAAACACAGAAAGACGAAAAAAATATAATTTCGTTATATTATTATCATCATCAGATTATTTTATTACGTGGCCTACGGCAAAAGGGAGAGAGCACGCCCAAGACAATGTCCAGTGTACAGGTACGCAGTGGAATGTCACATTTAAGGAATGTGAGAGATGGCGATATCTTGGGAAAGCCTTCATCCAACAGCGGATTTATCATGACTTATGATGATAATATTGCATATATATGGCTATGTTATATTATTGTAGCCAAGCAGATATTTCCCATATCCATTTTCAGTATTGTTGGTTGTAAATATTAACATTTTCGTAATGAAATAGCTCGCTGTAGCGTCACCAGATACAATTCACAAATGTATGAAAAACATAGACTGATCTTCTCTTATTTGTATAGAGAAACATGTGGTATTAATTTACTGCATGCACGATACTTACATTTACTGTCTCGTGAATCTACCCAGCCCAGTGGCACGATGGTTGGATCTCTTGCAGAACAAAATTCACAGTGGTCGACTCAGCCAATCATCTTCCCTGGGTCAATAAAACGAAGTACCCCGGTTTTTGGTGCCAGAAAGATGGGTCACTACTTGAGCATATTGGCCCAAGACAGAGGAAAGTGGAAAGAAATTACGAAATGTGCAGTGGACGCCTACGGGCTATCTGCCC